CGGTTCGATTTTTTTTTCTATTTTTTTTCTTATAAATAGTCATCAAGTTGGGCTTGATGTTCTGTCACCCACGCTTCTTCTTCTTCTTCTTTTGCTTCTTGTTCGTCGTCGTTCTTCTTCATGTTCCTCTTCGACGTCTCAACTTGATGTTTGACATCCTTCTTCCATCTCATATCATCCAGCACATCAACTTTTCTTTAAATTCTTTATTCATATTCAATATTCATCTGAATGTTCAATGAAAAATAAAAAATCAGAAGCATTTCATTGCTAAATCTCTGACTTGTCTTTCCATTGAAGAGTTCGAACGCAAAAAAACATTTTTAAATCCTTTTAGCATAGAAGCTGAAAGTTTCTCAAAACTTCAGACAAAGCCTCATCGATTGTGTTAATGTTAATCTGCATGTTAAGCATTGTATATTGTACGTACACAACACACATACACATCTGACCAATATACAGCCATTGACTCAAACTCATTCATACCATGGGGCTCCTTTTCTTCGAGCAGTCATGAAAGCTTTTCTAACGAGTTTTCAAAGGTCGACACCGCATATAATTTTTTTTTTTGCAAAAAACCTTTTCAAATTTCATGAAAAGGAAAAGCTTCTTCCATCTCAGTAGCCTCTGATCTAAACAACGTCTTCTACCTCTCTCTCTCTCTCTGCTCCTTTCTGTATTGCATTCCATGGCTGTGCCATTTTGTAGTTCTTGGAATCACAGCTAAAAAGAGAAAGAGAGAGAGAGAGAGAATGAGCCAAACAGAGAGAGAAATAGAGAGAGAATGTCTCATTTTCAGGAAAATTTGACTAATTGGAAATTAGAAAATCTACTTAATTAGCTAGAAAACAATAATTATATTGTTTACTCGCATGGCTTGTTCCAACCATTCGAGTCTCATTTGACTATGATTGCATTGAACATTACATTGATTTCAATAATTATCTTTCTTTATAGCATTTATTCTTAAAGAAATATAAAATGAAAAGGTACTTATAAGATGATTATTATTCAAATGATTGGTGTTTGATCAATGAGATTGATTATCATTTCATGCTTTTGCTCAGCTTCTCCCCATACTTCGTAATCATGACAGTTCCATGATTGTTTTCAATATACAACTTCAATATTTTCATCTTCAGCTCAATGTCACATGAGCATCTCCTTCCTTCCCTTGCCACCCTCTCTCTCTCTCTCTCTCTCTCTCTGTCTCCCTTTCCCTCTTACCATTTCTCTCTTCCTTTCTTCATCTTTTAGCAACAAAAAAAAATACTGAAAAATATGTGTGAGAGAGTTGGATTTTTGAATTTTTCTTTATCACCAACAAGCCGCTCCCTCACAGCCTCCCTCTGTGTTCGTTTTCAAACCCTTATTCCTTGCATTCGTATTGAATATACAAAACCCTTGCTTGCCCTGTTCCTGCCGTCCTTGTGTTCCACCGTACGCTCCTCCTCTTTGCTACTGCCATCCGCTGTCTACATTTGGCTTTTCACTCCTGCACATCACTCACTCATCCATTTTGAAACATTATAAAAGCAGAAAAATCCATTGAACCTTCTGATTTCTTTATTAGAAACAATATTCAACAGATAAATATATATGAATATCTGAAAAGATATAAACTTTATGCTGTCTCTCGATAGGTATAATATCCATTTAAGCTTCAAATGACAAGAAATTTCCTTTTTCGTCAATTTTTAGGGGCGTTTTTGTTTTGAAATATAAACTGAAAACATGATCGACTTTTATCCAATTTTTCAAGGCTCAAAGGCTTCATCTCATATTTGTGCACTTTCCTTATACTTCCTATAAAAGGAAAATTATGAATTAGGTTTAATCATTTTCATCAATCACTATCATCTTCATCAATGTTCTTCAATCATATCTAGTTAAGCATAATATACAATTATTTTCAAACGACTTATTCTAATTTACGTTACAATATCACGTGCAGTTACTGACGACGGATAAAACTCATTTATGTAATTACAGCTTCAGCGAACGGTTGTTTCCCTCTTTGCCTTCCCTTTGCTGTCCTCCTTCCTCCTCCCACTGCATCTCTTTCGTCAGTCTCCCCCTTACCCTTCTTTCTCCTCTCTCTCTCTCTCCTTCCCCATCTTATGGCCAACTTTTTCATTTTTACTTATCATTCAGAATTTACGTTATAAAGTATAAAATGAATTTATACGTTAAAATCAGAATGGAAAAACAAGTCGTATGAATAAAAAAGAAAAATAACTTTATATTAGAATAAATTTCATTATTGATCAAACACAAAACAACGTCTCGTCGTCTACGTCGTCATCGTCATCGTTGCCTTTTCCGAACATTTTTTTTTCTTTTTTCTCTTTTTATTCTTTTTTTTTCTTTCTGCAACCCAAACGCTAATTGTTATTTAAGACAAAAAAAAGTATTTGTTTTTTGAACTCTTTCAGGGCTGAAATTTTCTTAAAAACTCCGTCTGTCCTGACGTAATGATTTGAACATTGAATTCTCTCATAAGCTTTTACCTACTTACTACTCCTACTACTACATCTACTAGGAGTAGATGGCGTCTATGCTCTGTGCTGTGTCTTCTCCATCTCCTTCATCTTCTTCTCAACAAAACGACGTTGACTTTTAAGTCAAGTATGAAGTTGTGTCCTATGTATTCACAATTGATTTTCACGCTACTTTCCTTCATCTGACAGCTTTTCTATATTCTCATTTTGCACTTCATTTTCAAATATTCTTATTTATTTTTAACAAAAACAACTTCGTATACTTGAAGCAAGATAGAAACTGTCTCTCAACATAACGACTATTTTGAAAAATAAAAAATAAAAAAAACAAACTTCTCATAGAGTGTTGATGTCCTTTCGCGTGCATGTGCGTGTTCAAGCCACTGTCTCTTCTGTCCCACCTCCAGAGCGCATACACACCCATCCACATCGACAATATGCTTACAATTTCATTTGCAAAGCATTTTCATGAAATAGTTTTAAAAGACTCTGAACGATAGTCGTTTACATTTGAACGAGCTATGCCAAAAAAAGAATTTTCTAAAAATATAGCTTTAACCTTCTCATGTTGAGCATATGAGGGAAGCATGATGACGACAGCTTGACATATGTATGTTAACTATTGGTAATTCGTTGTACCTCCCTCCCTCTCCCTCTCTCTCTCTCTCTTCCTTGATCTATCTTTATTCGATCTGATATTTTGATCATCAGAATAGATTTTATAATATGTAAATGTTTTTCCCACCCCCGTTTACATTCCTTTTTCAATTTCCTTCTCTATTTCTTCCTCATTCCATCTATGTATGATGTAATTTCATATCATAGGGTCTTAAATGAATTCAGCTTTTTCATAATTCATTGCTCAAGTGAGGGTGTTTGGAACGAAATTTCGAAAAAGACTGAAAATGAGAAAATTTGATCTTAGTTGATTGTAATGGACGTCAAGCACTTCAAGTTCTTTGATGGTCAATGAGCTTTAATTGAAATTTATGTAAAACATTAAATATATATATTATCAAAATCTATTATATACTACTACTATGCCTATACCCCCAATCTACAGTGTCAAACGAACTTCATTGGCATAGTAGCGAGAAATTGAAAAATATGAGGAAGAAAGGAGATTTCGGGTGCTTGTGATGTTCGTTTATAAAGTTTCTTCTGATCCTCTTACCCATTTCGATGTTTCCATTGTTCTCATTCAAATAATAAAACTGAATTTTATTTTTTATTCAAAAACATATTTCAAAAACAACATAAAATGAGCTTTTTCTTCCTCTCATGCAGATGTTCTTCGTGAATTGTGAATAGCATCTCTCTCTCTCTCCATCTCATCTCTTCAGCTTCCTTCTCTCTCAGTCACGAAATACACAGAACATCTTCCGTATTGTTGTAGCTCAAAATTTGCTTTTCTTTTTTTATGCATATTATTAATTTCTTTTTCATTTCAGTCGTCTTCGAGCACGATATCCGTCTCGTTGACTGACGAGGCTTCCTCCGCGGTAGTCGGTGGAGGCGGACTGTCCTCAGCCGCACTGCGTGCCTTCTGCGGCTGCTTCTGCCGACCGGAGATAGAACTCAAGCAGCAAAAACGGTCGAAACATCAGAAAAAAATAACAAGTCGTTTTAGCTCTGGAGGTAAGTGAAAGAAACAAAACGAATCAAACGTTCTATAGTGCTCTCTCTCTCTCTTTCTCTTGAAAGAAAGAAAAGAGAAGAAAAAAACAGAGTTTGGCAGTGAGTACGATTGCGGAACAAATTACAGTAGTTGTTATGGTTATGCGCTTTACGCTCAAATTAAAAAAAACTTATGAAAACCGTTTTTGGCTGATAAAAATGCTGGCAAATAACCATGGCGACAATTTTCTAACACACAGATTAACAATGGGCTCAAAGCGAATTGCTATCAGACAAAAACGTTGTTGTTTGTTCCATGCATCCACTTTCACATCTTTCTCTCCTCTCCTTTTCTGCTATGCATGAGGAATTGCTTGAAAGATTGTAGTTTAAAGTTAAGGAGATGAAAATGGTAGAAGAGCAATTCATATTGAGTCGTCTTGTTCAATCAACTCATTTTGCTTTTTCAAATTTGCAACTACAAATTATTTTCTGTATTAAAATAACTTTTCGTTTCTTTCATTTGTAGTACTATATGCAAAAATTCACAAATCACTTCAGAACATAGAGAGAGAAGAGAGAGAAAGAAAGAGAAAGAGAGAGAGAGAGATAGCCAATTCGACTCACTGCTAATTAGAATATGCTAAGTGTAAATATCACGTGGCAGTGCGTGATGAAAAAAACATTTCAAATGTCTAAAGCCATAGAACTGGTTGCTTCAATTCATATCACTGATTCTATTTATCTATATTTCTTCGTATTGCAGGGAATTTAAGGTCCGGCTCAACCACAAGCAGTAGTAGTAGCACAAGTGCGTCGTTATCTCCGCCATCACCAGCTCGAACGTGCTGTTTCACTTCGTTCTTTGCGCGAATCTCGTCTATGGGAACAGCTGTTTCATCTTCATCGTCACCGGAACCAGATGAAACCTCACCTACGACAGAGCGAATTGCTACCTATCTCTCGGAAAAGCCGCTGAAAATGGCTCATATGTTAAAAGCAACAAAGTATGTTAATTTCGAATGTTTTCTTGGAAATAGTTAGATAGCAATACCTCTTAAAGCCATTCGTGCTTGATGATATCACATGCACATGTTAAAGGTATCAATTAGAGAAAGAAAGGGTGGTTGATGAGCAATGATTCCTTGTAAGGAAGCTTAAACCTTCACTTAAACTATGAATATGCTAATTGATGTTTACATGTTAACTTTGTAATTCTTGCAGACTAATCAATGATTCAACGTCAGAGGAAAAAATGCTCTTATTTGAGTCAGGAATTCTCCATACTTTATGCGAATTAATAGCTGAATGTGGAAGTGTTGAAGGGCAAAGCAAGTACATTCACAAGTGAGATTTTTAGTCTTTGTCCGTAGAAAATATGAGATAAGCTGTATTTGAATTACGTCTATACTATATTCAAGTATTCAAAAAAGCTTGTTCCACCTCCTGTCTCTCTCCTATCTCTCTCTCTCTCTCTATCATTCTCTCAACGGCAAAGAAAAGTGTTTATAGTAACTTCATATTATTCAGAAATGGCTCTGAAGAACGAAAGAGACATCAGCTGAGAAGAAGCTCGGAAGCTAATAATGCTTCACATCGAGGAGTCGGCTATGGTCATGGTTCCACAAGATCCCGATGGGATATTGAACGAACTGTAGAAGAGAAACTAGCTCGAGAGGAAAATCTAACATGGCTTTTGAACGCATTGAACACTTATATCTATTCATCATCTCCCGATTTTCCTTGTAAACGCTCACCAGCGGAATTAGCTCACTTATCTTCGCCTGTGATAACTGAAATAGGTAATGACAGGTGTGGAAAACATCAAAAATTGCGAATTTTGCAGGAGATAGTGCTGTAATTGTTTTATTGGAATATCATCTGAAAAATGATAGCGTTTTTGATGTCAGTGAACATATGGAACTATATCAAGCTTTACTGGAAACTGCTGCTTCTATGGCAACAGTACCACAACTTGTCCCATACTTGGTGCGGCCATATCAAACAGGAGCCAAATCAATAGCAAAGGAACTCATTCCAAAATTCAAAGAAATCATGTTATCCTATACCAATACGTGGAAGGGACAACTAGGATCTCCCGATTTTCGAATGATGGATTTTGTTAACAAAATTGAAACATATTCTGAAGCAGTTCTACTGGCTTCGCGTGAATATGAATCTCAACTACCAGCTGAAGAGCGCATTCGAACTGCTACAGCAAGACCTCGAGCAACTCAAAGTGAAGTTGCATTGAGTCGAAGAGCATTAGAGGTATTTTGAAGTAACATTTCTTGCAATTAAATGTTTTTCTTCAGAATGATGAAAGCAAACCAGATACGAATGCCGACATAACCATCTTGTATAACAAAGCATTGAAGCATTTGCAAATGCAAACTCATAGATTCGTTGGTGATTACGGAAAGCTAATAACGTCATTTACTTTCAAAAAGGAAATTCGTAATACGAATCCTTTCTCGCCTTCTTTACGGGAACGAACGAAGAGAATTACCAAGGTTTGTTTTGCCCTTCAAATCAAAACAGTATTCATCTCTTTAGGAACTCGCTTCCATGACCAATTCTCTACCTTTGAATGCTAGCAATAGTATATTTGTCTGTGTTGATGAAAGTCGTTGTGATATTATAAAAGTGCTCATTTCTGGTCCTGATGATACTCCTTATGCTAATGGGTTGTTTGAATTTGATGTGTTCTTCCCTACGAGGTAACCATTTCAAACAAAACCATAATCAATCGAATGTCCTTCAGTTATCCTTTCTCACCTCCTAAGTGTGCTTTCCTCACCACTGGCTCAGGAAACGTGCGGTTTAATCCTAATCTATATAACGATGGCAAGATTTGTTTATCCATACTTGGCACATGGGAAGGACGACCTGAAGAGAAGTGGACCCCATACTGTTCGCTCATGCAAGTTCTGGTTAGCATCCAGGTGAGAACTCAATCTGTTTGAACTTTTTTTTTCAATTTCTGATTCATCTTCTATCAAAAACATCTCTTCAGGGACTTATCTTCGTCAAAGATCCGTACTTCAATGAACCCGGCTTCGAGAAATACCAAGGGACAGAGAAAGGAGACGACTACTCAAGAAAATATAATCTTCAAATAGAGCATGCCACTTTAACTTATGCAATAAGAGATCAATTGAAAAACCCTCCGGAGTACTTTAAGGTATTGAAAGTTTCATGATTTATCTAAGAAGCATTTTTACTTCAGAAAGTAATTCAAAGACACTTCTGGTTGAAACGACATGCAATCATTGAACAGGCAAAAGCTTGGATGGTAGAAATGAGAAAAGATGCCCTTGAAAGCGAAAGAAATCCAAAGAAGAAGGATTTAGTGACATTCGAATCGTTGTACAATCCATTCCATCAGGTAAATTCTAGAATACAATACGAACTTTTCAAAAAAGTCGTTTGGAAAAAACAAAATACAATCTTTGAATTTACAGGAGCGAGCTATACAACAGCTGATCAACGAACTCAACAACATGACTTGTCCAGTTGAGCCTTGTAAGTAGTTTTCTGTCAACAATCATATCTAACATAACATCAATCCAGACGTCTGAGAGCATTTTCTTTTCCTTGCATTTCAACTTTGAACTTGTGCATATCCCTCTGCATAATCTGTGCCTTGGTATAGTGGCCCTTCCATAATTTGGGGAACGGATCGTCTATCATTTTACAAAATGTCTCAAGCAATTCCTGGAATTCATTACAATTGATCTTCATGTAATTATATTTAAAAATTGAAAAGAAACATATCAAAATGACTTATGAAATCAAAAATACTTCCCGTATCTCAAGAATTGTGAATGACCAACATTTCATCTATGCGGTATAATACCTTGGTTAACATATGAGACATGTGATCTTTTAGGAATTTTTTGAATTATGTATTTTTGTTAAAATTTCAATTTTGTATGAAATTCTTCTGATGACTAAATAAATTTTCAAACACTCACCATTGGATCAACACAAGTTACAGCTCTTGGTCCCCAAGAGTAGAGAACTTCTACCGTCTCATTGCCTTTGGCTTTGCAGAAATTCAACCATCCTTCAAATAGGCTGTCGACGACAGAAAACACAAAAAAAACCAAACCTTTTTGTACAAACTCGCTTGAAGGTAGAGGTGCAATCAGCTTTTTTATATCCCCAAAAACAACATCTTCGTTTTCTGTATCGATTCCAAACTCAGTCTGAACATCAACATTCAATCTGTGGTAAACCTTCAGCACTTCACATACCAAGACTTTGAATACAAATGCTTCAGAGACTGGTTTTGGAGTTACAGGATTAATGGATAAGAAGATAGCCGTCAGCAAAACTACTAAGAGCCCATTTTTGACGTCTTCCTAAGTGTTCCTGATTATAAAATAAGGTTTCAAAGGTCATACTTCAATATTATCGGAGGTTTGGATGAGATTCAAAGGAGGAAGGATATTACACACCATAAGACGTCCCTCGTTTGTTGTAACCTAATGAGTGGAATACAAAATTTTTAAATGTTATCAAAAAGAAACCGAGCATCCCATAATATTTTGTAACTTTAAACTTGAATCAACTAATGTAGCCTCGAAAGTAGTTTTCATGGCATCTATCCTCCGCCTCATTTCAGTATCTTTTATAGCAGATTTAATATTCTGAAGATACAAAGCATAATACAAATAGTAATAAGGGAAAAAAACTGACTTCCATACTTAGCAAATATTGAATGGCATCTTTAGTAGCGTCATCTTCATTACTAGTCATTTTATATTTGAATCAAGTTGAAAATGAGATTAGGTAGAATCTGACTAGCAGAATTTCTTTTTGTATCCTGTAGCCAATAAAATGGTTGAAGCCCCTTCAAAAAAAGAATTTCTGCAAATTCAGTACGCAATTTCTCGTGAACATTTCACCACTTTTCATTTGCCAGTCTCTATATTTTCATTTTCGCGCGGGATGCGCTGGAATGCGGTTGCATGTTTGAAAAGGGGAAGCTGAAAATATGAATTTGAATTGGTTAGTTGTTTTCTAGAAAAAAGATTTGGGGGAAGTATATTATTATTATGAAAAGTGGAGGTTCTGTTATTTTCTTAAGTAATTATGACATCTCCGAATCTATTTTCATATAGCAGACGGACATCTGTTGTAGTGAACAGAACGCTATTATATTTATTGAAATTTGTATTTTCAGTATTGCAAGGTTGAAAAATGAAACTGAAGAAAGATAATTCTCAAAGCTAAGCGGACATTCGTTCAACCCCAACGGTTAGTCATTTTTCCATTCTGTGGCACCCGTTTATGGACGCACGCTTTCTATAAGGTTATCTAGAGAGATATCATTAGCTTACGCTCTGACATGCGACCTAGCCTGACATCTAGTATCTTAATCCATTCCATAGGGGCAGATGTTCTTTATAGGGCTCACAGTTGTAGATAGATCCATTACCTTTATTTATCCCCATCTTCTTATTATTATCATATAAATAATATTTAATGAGTAGGCATTGTGCTTTTTGAGGTAGAAGCCACATGTTGCCAGTAGATTTCATTTTCCAGCCGCCTTTCAATTAATTATTATTTTATATAATTGCTTATAACCCTAGCAGTTCTTCCCTATTTTCCTTATTTGAGTGCGAGAGTTCTTTCAATACGCCTTTCATAGTAGCTCTCTTTGTTCTCTGAAACATGAGTGAGTTTTTCCAACAAATCTGTGTCATCACTCTGGTTTTGTTCTACTGTCTGCATTACCTTAGAGAAATCAGCAATACAATCTCTTTTGCTCTCCATAGTGGTCATGCTGGGTCTAAAGCTAAGCCCACCTGGGGATTCTTGCACAATGAAAAGAGCCCGTCTTCGATATGGATCTTGCACAGTACCCGAGGTAACATCGTGCCACGCTTGTTCTATTTCGGGAAAGATTCTTCGGGTTGTCTGATTTTGCGGATTTCTGTCAGCGCCCTTGTTAGTCATCTCAAACAAAGACTATATATTTCCCAGTAGCACTTGACTCATCTGCAGTCAATCTTTTATTTTTCCGACCGTCAAGTCCATTCATTGCTTTTATTCTCTGATCATTAGCATATCTTCTGTCCTTTGACCCTGTTAAATAACTGCTTGGCCATGTATTGATTCATTAGCTTACCCATATGAGTTTTTTCATTTAAGAGTACATTGTTTTGTTCAGCTAGTCTTTTGTGAGACTTTTTTCTTTCTGGAAAAAAGTGTGTACAAGGACAGATTGGAATACGATTAATGTAACTAAGAATAGCTATGACTGTTTGAGTATATCAGGTGTTTTCTTAGCGAATGAATGCAACGACAACTTTCAACTTCTCTGAACCATCTATCATTCTCATGATTGTATTTGTTGACCAACACAGCTGTTTAGTTTGTTTGGACATATGCGACCTCTTATCTCATACAAGTAAAGTTAAATAAATATAGCAGTTACTTAGCTTATAACTAATCTCTACGCCCTTGTATTATCTGAGATTATTCCTTTCATAGTTCTTATATCCTTATTAACTCTTAGCGCATATCTCATTTCCTCAATTTTGTCCTTGTAAGTGTTTTTTTCTCAGCCCTCAAGATCTTTGAGAACAGCCGTCGTTGTAAGACTTTCAGCCTAAGTTGTGTGAGCTTTTTTTTTGCGATGTTGTAGAAACGTCTAGTTTTTATGTTATAGTATTTCTAAATTTTGAACTGGCTTATTCTGTTCTGCTTATTGTCCTTCCACCACGTTCCCAACCTTTATAAGATGAATAATATGATGGTGGCAACGATGGTGAGTGACAAGTGAGCTGGCGAATTGACTTTCTCTACTGTACGGATACATTCCGTTATACGAAATTCTGTCCTTATAATCATACTGAGTAGTAGTCTATCAGCACTGTCAGCAATTCTTAATGGCTTCGCAGGTTACGTTCTCAAGGCGATTTCAAGGTTATACTAAATCATCACTATGTTACTTTTTCTAATTTCGCTATAACATTCATTGTTTCACTATAAATGTCTCCCTTCCTACTCAGTACGAATTCAATTGAAAGTGCCTTTATCGAATACTCTTTTCCCTTTGCGGAGTCTAGTGCTTTACCACTTTGTTCAATTCTTTTTCTTCTTTTTAGTAGCTTCTGCTTGTGCCACTTTCTCAGATTTTGTTGAAATAGCCCATATAGTGTGGATATTAGTATTGAAATATTATTCGTTGACGGAATTTTTTTAGATTCCTTCTTTCTCTTCGTAACTCGTAGAGAAATCTTTGTTTCATGATATTGCACATGCAAATAATCCCTTCTGTCATGTTAGTTTTCTTAACATTACTCTGAAGCCCATGTTTTTGCTAACTGAAAATAGCATTATTAAGCATGTGGTGGATTCATCAAGATGCCTAGCATATTAAAGCAGTCTTTTGCGTTCTATTAGCCTAGTGTATAATCTTCCCAGTCAGATTTTCCGAAACCCTGCATCACTAACTTTCTTTGCTCGCTACTCATATTTTCCGGATCATTAACAACAAATGAACGTTTCCTGTAAAATACTAAATCATATCTTTTTATGTTTCCGGTTAATTGAATGGGCCAATTCGTCTATTTGTTATATTCCGTTCGTCTGACCGATATTCCGAAGTGTAGTATGCTCTCACCCTTTTCTCTCTCTTAACTTGAACTGATGAAGTTCACTTTTTGTGCTTTTTTTGAAAATGGGTCTTATCTTCAACGTCATGATATTTAAGATTTTATGATGTGTGTGCGTCTGGCTGTTTTTCATTTCTCTCTCAACGCTTTGATCTATGCTTGTCAGTCATTTCTGATTGAACATTTGCTCGAAATTCTCCTTTTTCATTGAAGACTGTTTTCCTCTTTTGCTTAGTATTAATTCTCTTCTAGATACTAGATGGGAGCCTATTTTTTTGCTTTTTTTGTTTACTTCACTCGAATGTTTCTGAAAGTTCAGAGTCTAACTTTAATATTGATAGATGGCTTGGCTATTTTCTTCTGACCGCCATTCATAGCCAGAGTTCTCTTTAGTCAGATTCATAATCGAGCTGTATAACCGAGTTTGTTTTGGGCTGTTTATCTTTCATAATAATTAAACTGATAACAGACACGAAAGGTGAGGTGTTGAAGTTCATATTATGTGAACCTTTCTTTATTGACTTGTTTGCCTTACTCTTCATACTTTTTAACACGTTCTCCTATATCCTTCTCGAAATTCTTTGCCAAGTCCGCTTCTGGCCAGTTGTTCGCTATTGTGTTGCGCAACGTCCAAAATTGGCGTGAGGAGGAGGGACAAAGAAAATTTTTCTGATTACTTTGTCCCTTACTTATTTCTTGCATTGCGCAACGGCATCAACCTTAATCCCTCTGCGTGTTATAAGTAGCTGTGAGAAGTTGCCATGTTAAGGCCTGAAACATTATGTTTTTTTTTGTTCGGTTGTAAACTTTAATGTTTTACAATCGGATTGTTTCTTTCATAGACCCAATAGCCAATTTGTTCATATATCACTAATCCGTTTATGAAAGCATCATATACTGCTGAGAGATGGTTGTATAAACTGTTTTAGTAGCAGTTTATGAAGTGTTTATCGGTTTTAGCAGATACTATATACTCCTTTGTATAACAATACTTTGGTAGTCTGAAATATGAAAGCTTCTGCTTTTGAAATTTTCAGCAGTTGTTTCCGGTGATGAGATCAGCATTTTTCTCTCGCTCTTGTCCATGTGTTCATCACAAAATGCTCGTCTATATGTCAACTGTCTTTTTCCTCTTTCATCAATTGTCTTTGAATCCGTTGATTTATTCGACCTCATTCTTAATACTTTCTCCAATCAAGCTTTATCTTTCCACTTTTTATCAAACATGTAATTTTTTTTAATTCTTGTAAAGAAATCCTGTTTCTTTTGTCATATCGCAAGTTTCCGCTCAAAGCTCACCTGATGAAAGGATCCGCTTGCAATTCGCATTTTTCACGTTTTGCCAAAGTTTGAAAAGTTATTACACTTGTTAGGTTTCCTATATGTAATTTGATTCTTCCTCTCCCACACTTTCATTTCTTCACCTGATTAGTTTTATGTTATTTCGTCCTGTGAAACTGATACGAGCCGTTTCAAAAAATATTACCTCGAAAATACACATACATTTTCTCATTGCTCTCCCACCTATTTTCTCGTTTGTTCTATAATGAAGTGGGTGATAAGAGCATATTGATACTCATCTTTATTTGTTTCTTCTTTCCTCTGTTCAAATTCCATCTTGTTCAATTCTCACCTTCTGCAATTTACTATTCATCTTCTGCAGAAAAAAAAAAGATACATCTCAATCAATTGTAGAATTTTTAGTGGCTGTGTTGTTGTTTAATCGAACCCTTTTAGACCATATCGGGTTTCTTTACTCTTCACCATGTCCATTCAGAAGGTGAAACTTCCTAGTTTAATTCATACAGAATATTATAAAAATTCAATTCATTTTTGATAACACATTGAGCTTTTCTTAAGTAAATACTGATTTCGTGGACCCGGGGGAATCTGATCTTCTCTTGGGCCTCTTTTTTCTTCTATCTGATTTCTATGCCGTAAAGACTCAGTCGGCATTTTATTCAATTCGTTTCGGTCTTGAATATATTTATAGCTGTTTCGTTTCTTCAAATTATTCCGTTTCAGAGTTGCCTTTCCTATGTGAACGATTAAGTAGAAATACTTTGTGTAATCATGCTTTTTCTGTCCGTTCTGTCACTCTTATGTTTTCGAATATGTGTGGGACATTTCAACTTGCTGATCTCCAAAGGCGAGATGAACAGAACTCTCGGTAAGCTTAATCTTCACTATCAATAATCCTGATTTGTAAACTCTAGGTTTAAACGCAGAAATGAGCTATGTAGAGAACGGAGTGGTTAATGCGTATTCCACAAAGTTTCCTCTGCGAGTGAATGCCGATGTAAACTTCGTTACTTTCACTTGGAGTTCTACTGCATCCGTCATCTATGCGATTATAATAGAATCTGAGGACACGAATGTAGTCCCAGTTTTGCGCATCCCTAGTCATGGAAGTATTCCCCATAGTACGCAAGACTTCATCGTCGAGTATAGATGCGCAGGTTATCGGTCTGGACAGTTTATTGTCTCTATGTACTTCAACTTTACTATCCAGGTAAGATACTTACGGGTTAATTGGTTTAAGTTTCAATTTACAGAACGGAGATTCGCAATCTGTGAGATTGCGTCAAGAAAAACTGTGTACTTCTAGAGATGGAAGAAGAGGACTGGCATGTTAGTATTTCCTATTTAGCTGATTTCTAATGTTTAATTACCAGATATGGTATCAGGTGTGGATGGTCTTGAGCAGGAGACTGTCGATGGAACTGAAAAAGTTTTCTATTTGATCATTAGTAAGAGTTGAATCAAGTTATGCCTGAAACTGTTCTTCGTTATAGCGATTGCTTCTCTCTTCCTTCTTATTATTGGGATCCTTTTGTTCACCTACTTCAGGAAATCGAAGAAAGAAGTGCCATGCTCTACTCCTAGAACACGCACTCCCATATGTCGCTTACCGTATGCTCACTCTCATAATCAATTTAAAATTTCGTTTTTTAGAACATCTTTCCGATCTTCGATTCGCACAGCGCGTTCAGGAACATCTGCTCAGCCTTTTTTGACTTCGACTCCTGTGAAAGATGGTAGATAGTTTTAGAACTTTTTTTCCATACTCATTGTTTTCCAGCCTTATGCTCATCTGGTTCCCTCCTCGGAACAGCTTCGAACCTATCTAGCGCATTATCTTCAACGAAGGAAAATAATGTAGTTAAAGACAAGCCGAGCAACGTAATTTTAAGTTATCGTAGCTGGATATAATGATTTACTCAGGTTGACGTAAGAAAAGCACTGGTGTCGCTGCATGCTGATAGAGAACTTCTTCAAATGTTGCCATTTGTAGATATGGAAGGTGAGTTCTTCTTAAATTTTCTGTGAGTCAACCGATTTCGTTTTCAGGAACCTTTGGTGAGATTCGTTTTGCCATTTGGAGACAAACGGAAGATCCTACGAATGGAGACGTTGATGATGAGGAGGATGCACCTTGTACAGATGAGCCTGTTATGTGCAAAACATTGAAGAAAAACGCTACTCCTGTGCATCTCGAAAAGTTCCTACAGGATGCACTTGCACTGCATAAAGCACCTCCACATGCCAACTTAGCTCAAGTATGTTTTTTATATTCTATTTATTATTTAAGTAATTCATTCTAGGTTGCTTGTGCTGCTTCTTTCGGGAGGTTCGACGACCCTTCATCTATTAATGATCTTCCTTTAATATGCTATCGTCACCGTGGGTTCGGAATACTTAAAAAGTTTTTAATGAATTGCCGTGAGGGAGACCAACGTAAAAGTATGATTAAGTATTTGTATTGCTTCTAATCATTGTTTTCAGATGCGCATTTCTTAAGAACTCATGAACTGGCTTCTATTGCTTTGCAAGTTGGTAGAGCAATGGCTCATTTGCACAAGTTTTATATATTACACAAAGACATTGCAACAAGGTGATAAAAGAAAACAAAGTGATATCTCTTACAAGAAATCTTAGAAACTGTGTTATTGCGGAAAACGGAAGTCGGCTGGTAGTTCAATTGTGTGATAATTCTTTGTCTCGAGATGTTTTTCCATCTGATTATCACTGTATCGGGGATAACGAGAATAGACCATTGAAATGGATGAGTCCAGAGGCCATTCAGGACCGAAAATATACTAGTGCCAGTGATGTGGTGAGTTGATGCTTTATGGTTTCTTGACATTATCCTCGTTGTGAAGAGTTCATAATACTCGTATCTTTAATATAAGGATGATTGCTTTCCGCTGTGCTCACCAAACTAGGCATTTTTCCGTTCTATTTATATTTTTATCTGATTTCAGTGGTCTTTCGGAGTTTTGTGCTGGGAGCTGATGTCTCTTGCCTCCGTTCCTTTCCCAGATATTGGTAGGCTATTATTGTGAAAAGGCTGAAGAATATGAATATTTTAGATGCCGATGACATGTTACCCGCTTTGAAAAGAGGAGCAAGGCTTCCTCAACCTGCAAACTGCCCTGATCAACTGTACAATATTATGTACTGTTGTTGGCATGAAGTTGTACGGGATAGACCAACTGCTGATCAAATAACAATGGCATTACAAGAGTTTGCAGTAACTTTAAACCAGTTCATCTGAAAAATGCGGATGATGTATCATAGTTATGTATTTGCGTTTATATTAGATATACTATCTTTATTCGAGCTAAATTGGCTTACGGGTTTCACACATATAGTCTAGAGTTCTATTTTCAAACTTATTTTTGTTTCTTCGTTTCTTCAGATCTCCAAAGGCATGTTTCTAATTAAATTAATATTGTCGGTGCTTATTTTCAAAATCTCATCATGAAAACATGAAATATATCTTCAATAAACTTTTAATAATTAGTGTACTTGTGTTTTCATTACGAGAACTATGACATTCGATAGAGATGGCTGTTCAACAATTGATTTAGCTCCAACTTCTAATTTCCAGAATAAAGAGCATTCTCATTCATGAAAAACAGAAGAACGCAAACAATGACGAATCATGTTGAAACATCATCTCATCGAAGATCGAACACTTATGAAGAACCGAGATGAGCAAGAACAAAAAAGCGAACTTGTTATGAAGGAAGAGAGCAACGTTTATTGTGGTGAATTTCTCTAATGAGCTTTGATGTTGATGTATGTATGAAATGTTTCCAGTTCACTGGAACACTCTAATAGCAGATAAGGGCAAGTAGATGAAAATGAAATTCCGAAATGTTGTCAACCATCCGGCCCGGAAAGATGCGGACTAGTCTTTCTGTTTGATAACTTGCAAGGAAGAGATGTCGGAGCTAGAGATCATTCGCTTCAACTGGTATAAACTGGACAATCGACCGCTCCCATATTTGCTTAATCTTCGAAATTTAGGCTTGCTGATAACACATGTCTAAACTACAAATATTCAAAACGCAAAATTATTTTTTTTGAATAGATGGTGAATACTTCGATTGACTCCTATTGAATTTCGCGATGCACGGTCAACATCTGTTTGTGCAACCTTTTAGAGACCCCTATTAAAGTTTTTTTCGGAACCCGAGAGTCCCGTACGGTTTTTCTAAGCTTGTATTCCTAAATTAAATGTCTAAATAGTGGGTAACCAGATCATAATAGGTGAGAACTCGGTTGGACGAATGTTGGTTGTTGACAAATGGCTCTATTTAATGTAAACAGAGAGAAAAGAGCTGAAGAAATTCGCCTATTAAAGGACCGGACATTCAACCATTTGTTCAGTTTGCCTTGGAACTATCTGGCGATTCGCAATGATTCCTCGATCTGTCTGCTCTTCTATTCTACTTGCCGGTTTGGCGATTCTTGTAAGTTGTATATACTGAAATTTACTTATACGAGTCCATTCTGTAGGCCTCATGCAGTAACCAACAGAATGGTTCTAACAACTATGGGTTCACAACTGCTCTTCAGTGCAAGTACTTTTCCTAGAATTTCATATTGAGAAACGTTATATATTGCAGGTGCTCTGATTTAGAGCAATGCTCGGCTGAGTTGACCGCAAAAACAAACGCTTGCAAGACGAATGCTCAATGCATGTCCTTCTTAACCAAAATTGGAGATTCTCAGAAAATCGAAGCATGTCTCGAACAGGATCACCAGGTTTCTTAATGAATAAGAGCATTTTTGGAACGTTGTATATTCAGATTATGCTGAAGCTCGAGAATTGCGCTAAGGCCAAGCTTAATGGCGAGCTAGGCTGTACGAACTCTCCTAACCCTCAAAATCTTACTATCCCACTCATTCCCGTCGTAGAGGTACCTCAAATGGATGGAGAAACCTCAGATCCCGCGGTAAGATAAACCATCTGAGTTTTGTATACTTTTCTCCACTTTGAAGCTTCAACAACAAAATCAGACACAGGGACCTCCAGAGCTCAATCTTTATTTACGCTGCGTGGATGAGTGCAGTATGGCAGATATGGAAATCATTCCCGGAAGAAGAAAGAAGAGAAGTCCAGTGAACTGTGCCTTTAAACTCAAGTGAGGAAACAATAGTTACGAATATCATATAAATTTAAGATGCGCTCTCTCTCCACCTACACCTGAGATACAACAAGCCTATGCTACTTGTGAGAAAGAACTGTCGATCGACCCTGCAGCACGTATGGCCACTTCTTGCAACTGCTTGAAATCTGCCGGAGTACAATCTTTGCAATGCTGAATGTATATAAATGAAACTTAATAAATCTTAAACAAATTAAATCTGTTAGCTGGGAACCAAAGTGACTAAGGAAGGTTTGAACTGGGATTCGATGTTAGAGGATAACAGCTCACAGATCTAACGTATTACAGCGAATTATGAAGGAATGAAGAGAACACACGCCAACTGAGGGAAATAGAAGACTGAGTCTACTTGGTTTCGAACAAACTTCGAGAAATAGTTCTAGAAGAAGATCATATTCATCCGTAATAGTCTTATCATCTTTTCCGCTCAATCTGTCAGACTGTCGGGTTGTCAACTAGAAATAGGTCGATCGAATGATGATTTTTCTCTTTCTTCTCCATAATCGACTATTATAGATTTAAAACATTTTACTATCGCTGTTATCGAATTGTATTGATCTCCTTGTGTTACTTTCCATCTACTTACCTTATTATTTTCGGCACTTGCATCTATTTCTCTTAACTATGGTTCATTTTTTTCAGACGAATCCATGTTAACAATACTCTTCATCTGTCTTTGCCTCGGGACCAATGGGCACGCGGGTTAGTTAAATAGAGTATATACGATTTGGACAAAGTAGAACATATTTCGCTGAAGCTAAAATAATCACCAACACAAATTCAAAATTCTCAGATTATATCGACAGCCACTTGGGGAAAAAAGAGCTAACTAATATTGCCACAACCTGCCTGACACAAAAAGATTTGGAACTGCTGACTGGAAACGCCCTCAGGTACCAAGCAGTAGGATTTGTTCTCTTCCATTTGATCGAACAGAGCGTGGTTACCATAGGTCTTGAAGAGTTACGTACTGCTCTCAAATTTTCCCCACTTCCACCCTGGAAGCCATTTAACGAAACCGAACCAAGTGATCATGAGCTTGCAACAGCCACTACAATCGAAGAGTATTACAATTTAAGAGAGCCGCGCTCCAAAATGAGAAGTCTCGATAGCCGATACTTGTTCGAGCACAACATAGATACTGCTGTTACATACTTAAACAAACGGGTACCCTCGATACGAATTATTTTCAAGAAAGCGTTTGAAGAAGCTTGTCCTGATCCTCCAAAGGTGTTAGATAAGAAAGAAATCGATAGTATGATTGAACTGAATCGCGCGACGGCTGTTGAAGTAAAAAAGGCAACTTCGACTATGATATATATAGACAAATGTTGGTATGTAGAGTAACATAAAATAAATATATAAATGATTGTTTTTAACATGTCTTATATCTCTGCCCTTATCGAAAATTCCGTGTACTTTGTCAATATTTAACTCACGATCACAACACGATGTATTTCATATCAACAACAAGACATTGATAAAAGAAAAGAATTGAGTATAAATGAACGTTTTACTGTAAACACTTTAAGGACTGGCAGACGATTGAAGCGGTGGTCTGAAAAATATGAGATTTTCTGTTTGTTAATTGTCAAGTTGCGAATATCATGCGGTATCGTTTAATAAACTGCTTGAATATATAGCGTAATAGTCAAGATACAATTTGAAAATAAGAGTGACAGGAACATGCAATTTGAAGAAAGGAAAACAATTACCGTGTTTTTGAGGTAGTCTCCCAGAATCCCTTTTACTTGCAATACATCAGTGAAAGTTTTCAGGCATTCAGCTTCTTTTGTAGGGCAAAAAGCTGCAGTAATAGCTTCGTTCAATCTAGGCAAGGGAGTGTGAAGAATCTGAAAATAAGCGGTAAAAGTCATTTCTCCAAATTACTCCTGGCTAGGCAAAAAAACAAAAAAGATAATACGTAGTCTTTTTCATTTCCTTTATACTGTCAGTATGAAAATGATACTAACCGTGAAAATGTGTTGTACGAACAGCTCGCAGAAAAAGCAGCTCCATTCACCGTTCATTAGCTCCTTCCCTTTCGAATCCCTGAAACATTACATGCTATTTTTCGATTATACTGATTTTATTGATAATCTAATTATGCTTCGACAGATAAGCTTTTAATAATTAAAATACGGTCATGTGCTGTAAAACTACTACAAAAACAAAAAAACTTACTTATCCTGGCATAAAAAGAGGAATCAGTCAAGTCAATAACAGAGAACTCTCCATTACATTCGAGATGAAAAACATGTAGCCTGCAGATCATTGAAACAGGCAGGCCCATAGAATCTGACCATATAAGACAATCATGCCTCCTATCGGAGGAAACTCTATGGCGAACGTCTCCTTCAAACGAACAACTGACTGATGTAGCGATGTCTCGTCCGTATGTGATATT